TTATTAATAAGAAGAATCCTTCCATTTGATAAACCGCCTTATCATGTCTTCGAGACATCTCAAAGCCCTTCACAGGATAGACTATAAAGGATTGACTGTATTTTGTGGTATTTTGCCAGTTTGCACACAGCAATATCCCACAAACAGCCATGGAATGAGTGACCAATTTTATTTTGGTGATTTGTTGGCCAGGACACCGGGAGAAACTCCCATGCATTATGCATTTGAAGTCTAATACCTGTGCATTTTTTGTGTTGTGAACAGGCCTCTAGGACCAGGTTGCTTCATTTGTTGTAGTGGGAAATCTGCTGATGAGTGGCAGCAAGGTTCCTGAGTCTGGGAGTGTGAGACAGATTGACAGACACATCTGCAGTGCTGGTGTGACATAGACATGTGAGACACTCTGAGATATTTTGCATCTATCTTTGTAGTGCAGTTACTGAAAAGCAGGGATTCTCGTGTTGAGAAGGAAAAATGGGGATACCCGTGATCAGATGATATTCTAAAGAAGAGGCAAACTCAGCTGGTTAATAATCATCATCCAAACTCTGAGATTAATAATAGTATAATAATAATCCTTGCATTTGATATAGCACCTTATCACATCTTATCTTATCTCTTATCTTATCTCTTATCTTATTGTCTTGTCTCCTTTCCCTCCCCTCACCCTGACCATTTCCTCCCTCCTGGCTCCCTCCCTTCACTCCCCTCACCATTTCTCCCCTGCTCGGTTCCTGACCCAACTGTCCAGCGCTTTGTGACGTCCTCCCGACATGAAAGGCGCTCTATAAATGGAATCTTGTTGTTGTTGTCTTCAAGATGCCTCAAAGCGCTTCACAGAATAAACTAAATTGAATTGACTGTATATTTTGTGGGCGAAACGCAGCAGCCAATTGCGCACAGCAGTGTCCCATGAAGTCGTGGATTGAGTGACCAATTTTAAGGTATATTCTTGAAATCCTCCCCCACCTATGCCCCCTCCCACCACCCAATCTGCAGTTATCAGAGTTTAAGTTTTCTAACCAATATTGAATCCCTTTTTATGATGTTGCAGCCTGTAGCTGTACTAACTCTTTGTGTATTCCATCCTGTTGATGTAGTCACAATCACTAAGGGTTAAGAAATTGATGGCATTTTCAGAGACATTTCACTGAGAAATGCTAGGCAGTTTGTTGCTGAGAAACTCTAGGTCCAGCATACATCATGTTAATGAGTTCTTTTTATTAGCACACTGATGTGTCTGTGTTGTTTGCTTGATGATCGGCAGCCTCACTGTTCAGCATCGCACCAGCCACAGATAAGCCCTGCATCTGGAGGCTTGGGATGTGCTCCAGCTTTGCCCAGTTGACCCTTCCTGCTTTGTAATCAGACGCTGAATACCTTATTTATTATTTCAGCCCCTTGTGCCCAGACCGTGAAAGTATTTGCACCTCTCGAGATTTGGGAGAACGTGCTTTTGAATGAGTGGATTTTACTCGGTAAAGTGAATGAGCAACAAATCCGTGTTGCTGTTGGCTGCAATTTATCACAAGCTCAATACCTCGTAGCAGCGAGACTGCATGCCTCATCCGAAGAAAGCTCTGAACACTATAACTCAACCTCATTATCTTGCATTGGGAGATTGTGCTGGGACAAAATGATGAATGGGTCGTGAAATGCTGGTTCATTTGCTTTTGATGTTTTGTTTGAGATCATTAGAAATGTTATTTCTGTAGGAGTGTAGGAGTGGGGAGGGGGGTGAGGGGATGGAAGGGAGACATTTTCCTCTAGTTTAATTTTATTTTATAGTAATAAGTACTTTGTAGGTGCCGGTGCGAATCTTGTGTGTAAGGCAGTAGAATTTGAAGCACTGCTGGACGCTAATTGGGTTTCATATTCAGTCTGAAATGCACAAAACCGCTTTCCACTGTGTCCAGCAGCAAGCAGGAACGCTTTCCTTGTTGAACTGTAAATGGGAATTCTCACTGTGGGTGTGTTTGATTATGTCCATAAATCGGACACACAATTCAACTATATTTGCAATGCCTCATTTCCACACAACCTCCTGAAAGGGTCTTTGAATGGCGATTGAGAGCAAAAACCCTATTATTTTCTCTCTCCCTAGTTGAACTTGCTGATTCCATGGCTGAGATCATCCCAACGCAGCAAGGATCGGAAGTGAAAGCTGCAACCCCCTGTTCTGGGTGGTGCTCCTTCACCCACCAAGCCATTAGAGCGGTAGCAACAAATTACTGTTAATTCAGAGGGTGTCCTCTAAAAGCCATGCTTGGTGCTTAAAATACATGTATGCATAAGACATTGATTGTGTGGCCTCGATGTTTGAATTGCATAGCATCGCAGAAGCTATGAGTGCGGAGGGAAAGTGAAAGTGAAAGTTTTACAGCCTTTCATTTAGGAATCACTCCATTTTTTTTTAATGGAGCATCCTCATCATTTTATGGTATCTTTTCTCTAGTCCTGATGGTGCAGTCTTCTTTAGTTGTGGTTTTCACCCTGTAGCGTGCTTCTCTGTTGACGTGTGATAATGTTCACACAAAAAGTTTAGCAATTGTGATGAGAGCTCAAAGCGTACCTGAGATCCGGCCACATGTACTGACTCTGTGGCGGGTGATTTCATCTTCCGCGTTTTTTTTTGCTTAGTTGTCTTCTGCCTGGGGTTTGTGAAATCCTTTGAGATGTCTTGACGACATTAGTCTGACTTCTATTCCAAAGGCATTCTGGAGGCCACAAATAATCCAAAGGTACTATTCTCCACTGTTCATCAACTCCTCTGCACACCCCCTCAAGCATCCTCTATCCTAGCCAAGTGCGAAGAGGTCCTCGACTTAGTCATCTCAAAGATTGAAAACATCTGCTTGGCTGCATTCTCTTCCTTCCCCATATCCCCTTCCACCCTCCCTGAGCCATATACACTGCCCACTTCTTCCACCACAACCCCTTCCTACACTCCTTTGCCCGATTACTCCATCCTCCCTCTCAACCACCATCTCTCACATGAAGTCCACCACCTGCTACCTCGACCCCCTCCCCACCCATTTGCTGGTCATGCAACTCCCCCTCCTCTGCCCCTTGCTGACAGCCACAGTCAACCAGTTGCTCTCATCAGGCTCTGTTCCTCTCCTACCTTAAAGTGCTCTGAGATGTTATACTCGTGAGGGACGCTGTATAAATGCAAGTTGTTGTTAGTTTTCAATAGCCTTGGAGCGTTCCAGTTTCCGTGGATGATATATGTGGTATTGCAGTCCCATTTACAGTAACAGTAATGGTAAGAAACCCCAGTTGTATATTTCAACATGAATTTGTTAATGACAAATGTCTTTTTGTCTCTTAGCATGGTGCAGATCTCCGTGGTGGGATGCAGTGATTTAAGGAAATAAATCACTTTCAGAGACATGTCTGTGTCTTACTCAGGCCTGTTGTGCTTATGAGTAAGTTGTTTCCGATTCCTAACACTGCTTTATTTTGCTGAGAAACCTCACTCCACTTTGAGTACCTGTGTACATTATTGCGAAGGGCTGAGCAAAGTAAAGTAATGTTTGTTTTAGTTGATTTTTGTACCTCTTAATTTTATTTTTCATACCGTTTTAATCATTCAGTACAAGGGAAGGGAATGAAATGATTTGCGAGGTTTTATGGGTAGTACTATATAGATGGACCTTCTCATAACTGTGTAACTGCGGGACCATCTGCTATTATAATAACCCTTGCATTTGATGTAGTGCTTTGTCAAGTCTTCGAGACATTACATGATATACTGTAAAGTGGTGTGATTGTGTGGATTTTTTGGGTGAATGTGTCAGCAAGGTCCCACAAACAGCTATGGAGTGGGTGACCAATTGGATTTGGAGGATTGTTGGCCAGGACATCGGGATACACTGCTTTCTGTTTTCATATGGTGCCATGCAATCTTTTACGTCCACCTGAACAGACAGACCCAGTTAAAGTCTCATCCAAATTACAATGCAGCACAGCAGTGTTAGCTTAGACTGTATAAGTTCCATGTCTCGACGTGGGGCTTGAATGCATCAGTTTTAACTTGTCAATGCTACCTTTGACCCTGGAAATCTCCAGTCACTTGAAATCTCATCAGAGTGAGCTTGTAGTGGTTTCTTTCAGTCTTTTTTCCCTGTAGCTGCGGTGATTTCCTGATAGTCTGATCGCGTCATGCGAACGTAGGAACAGGGGTAGGCCATTCAGCCCTTCGAGGCTGTTACGCCATTTAATTAGATCATGGCTGATCTGTACCTCAACTGTCCAGAGACCTTGTGATGGAGAATCCCTACCTTACATCCCCATTGTGTGACATGACAAAGGAACATCTCAGAGAGGACATTATCGAGGTGTATAACATTTTAAACGGGATTGAGAAAGTAAACCCAGAACAAAACAGGTTATTTTCAAATGTGCTGAGGCTAAAGAATAATAGGGTACAGGATTAGAATTGCAAAGGGCAGACAGATGCCAAGAAGTATTTCTTTACCCAGAGGATAATTTAACAACTGGAACAGGTTACCACGAAGGGTGTTAGAGGCCAGAAACTAGACTCATTTTATTAGCAGCTTGATGCTCTGATGGAAGGATGAGTGTTCCAGATCATCTGAACAATATTTTACCTTTAACAAAGCACCTTATCACATCATTAAGATGTCTGAAAGCACATCACAGAATTTGTGACTGTGTATTTGTTGACAAAGATAGGTTTCCAATGGAGAAAATAATGTGGAAAGATTTGAAATCCTCAGTAACTACTTTTTTCATTACAGAGATTGTATTTCTACCTTTCATTCTAGTTCTCCGAACATTCGTTTTCAGAAATTACAAAACCTTAACAAAGTAAATCTGAGGATCCTGTTCATGTGGTGTCCTGCACATGGCATTGTTTTAAATCTTAATCTTAACTGTGGCCCTTGTTAACCGTCAAATATTTTGATGCCAAATCCGTTGTTTATTGTGAATGAAGTTGTGCGCCTTTTGTTTTCCTTAATGAAGCTTTTATCCAGACATTGTAGATATCAAACCTGTGGACATGGAAGAGCTGACTGAAGTGATCACCGCGGCTGAATTCCACCCCCACCACTGTAACCTCTTGGTCTACAGCAGCAGCAAGGGAACTCTGCGGCTCTGCGACATGAGGGCAGCGGCACTGTGCGACAAGCATGCCAAATGTAAGCTCCTGTTGTACCTGTACTCAGCCGCCGGCTCTGCAATGTTACTGTGTTGGATGGGGTGGGATGGGGGTGTTTGGGGGCTGGTAGGGGAAGACGCTTCTGTAGTGAAAAACTTGTCCAGCATAACTTGGCTGAACGTTTGATCTCTTACGCAGTTTCGGTCCAGCTTGTGGACCAAAACTCTGGCTCCGAGACACGGCGACACTGCACGAAGGGTGCTACATAAATGCAAGTTGTTGTTGTGCCTGTGGTGACGGGTCCAATAGTTTTGTCAATCACTATGATCAGCCATATGAAGGGGAGTCCTCGCTGCCTTGTCTGGAAAGTGTGGCTCCTTTTTACCTATTGAGCACTTTGTGGCTGATAGTTTAACAGGAGACAGAATGGCTGAATGATGCTTTGTTAATATAAACTCAAGTATATGGAACTTTTCTTTTAGCTTTCAAGATCTCTAAAGCAGCTCACACACCAGCCCACAGCATGCAATCGGAGAACTGAACTGAGAACTGAACAGTGCAAATACTGTTCACTGAGGTTCAAATCCATCTTACGATCATCTGATCCAATTTAGGGGGGAACGTTCCCAGCTGTTGTACAAAAGTGCTTGGGTTAGCATTAAATAAAAGCACGGCAGAAAGTGTGTCTGTGTGTGCGTTCTGAACTTGAAATAGTCTTTGAAATCTGAATTAATTAAAATTACCTGTTTCGGGTGACATGCCCTCGTTTTCACCTTTTTTTTAATGTTGCATGTGTATGAGTAAATACAGTGACTAGTGCTCGTTGCAAATATGCCTCTGTGTTTTGGATTTGGGATGGCAGTCAGAATGATGACAGGCAGGCAGGCGTTTGTATTCACAGATTGGGTGGACGGCTGAAGAGTGCTGTCGTGTCTGTAAGCTGTCAGAGGTATTGCTGGAGGCCTGGGAGCAGGACATTTGCTTATTTTTGTAGCAGGGAATGACGCAAGGTGTAGGGAGATGCAAGAAAGGGAACACTGAGAAAGAGGCGCTTGGAACTTCATCTGATTTCCATGATGGCCAAAGTTGTATTTTTAAGACATCCATATCTCTGGGGATCTTGTCTGAGCCCCATTAATCCATGACACAAGCATTGGAGCTCTCCTGTATTTATTTCCCCCATGAGTACTACAGTATTTCATATTGGGTTGCTTAGTTTATCAATTTAAGGGGAACGAAAAAATCAAATCCAAAACAGAAATGCGGAGATCAAGGTTTTGGTCAAGTTAGTGTAAATTGATCTAATAAATTAAGTTTCTAATCTTTTTTAAAAAATATTAGATGGTATTTGGATTGATCGAAATTCACCTTTTGGGGGATTGGTTTCCAGACCAATCCACTTAAATTGATGTTCAAAATGTAAAGTGCATAATTTTTTAAAAGGCTGATTTTGGCATCCTGTCAATCATCTACACTGGAAGCATCCACTAGTGGGGGGAGGGGGTTGTTGATTGATTAACAAATAGACATTAGCAGGTTGCACCTCATTGGTAGTATTTGAGAAACGTGGCATTGAGCTCTTAAGAAAATGCTGGATTTTGAACCTTGCCAATTTATCTGTAGCATCTTTTTCCCCCCCTGGAGCTTAATTGTTCTCATGTGATTAGCATTTAAAGTCACCAGCAAAACATAATGCGTATTTCTTGCAAATTCTAATCCAGACAGCACAGAGAATTTAAATCTAAAAGTGTCCATAATTCTGAACGTGTGGAATTATATTTTGTGGATTCAAAGAAAAAGCGATAGAATTAAGTTGTTTTAAATTGAAAATACTTTTTTTAAACGTACAAATGATATTGGCTTTTCAGTTTTATAATGCAACATGAAATTCACTCAAATTATACAAACGACAAAGAAATCAAAATGCTAATGATTGTGTGCCAATTAGAATTGCAATGCGATTCACCTGGCCTGACTATTTAGATAGCCATCCTTTGGTATATAGCCCTATTTGGTGCCTAAAGGTATAATAAGGTCTTGTAGTCATTGATTAAAGTCCATTTTCCAGATCTGTGAGTTGGAAAATAGCAATTTAATGTAGCAGTGTTCCGCTGAGCCAGCCCAGAGTTCATACAGCAAAGCAATGTACACAACATGTGACTGATGTAGTGCGGTGAAGGGAGAGGAAAAAATGCGAACAATAATGAATGAGGATGCAAATCTTGCCAGTGCAAGTATGCAAAAGGATAGAAAAGCTAAGAATAATCCTTCATTTACCCCAGACACTCTGCTTTTAGACCTGCTTTAAATTCCTCCTCATCATTTGTTTATTAAAAATGAATTGCCTTCTGCCATTTTAATGTCAGTGAGCTTGATGTTCTACAGCTGCTTCATCTACATTCACTGTTGATTTGAATTTATTTCTGTTACATTGTGATTAACCCAGTTGACCCTTCTTCCTTACAAAAGCACCTCAGTATTGCTCCAGGAAGCTTAGAATGAGAGAGATTTCATTAAGTCAATGGGAAAGGTTGGTAGAGCAACCTGAACTTCAGACATCTTGTCAAACCTGGGTAACGGATACATCTTTGCAAAGCAGGATTCCATGTTGTTAATGAGAAGAGGTTAATCTGGCATAGACTTCCAGATAGGCGTGGATGAATAGTCTTTGCCATAGAGAGGCTTGGATTGTAGTGGCACTGAACAGGTCACTGTTTTTATTTTCTCCGATGATTTGTTCTGTTTTTTGGTGAATGCCTAATTCCTCAATTCCTCGTCAATGCAGAGGCACTTCTTGCCCCGTTGTCTTGAGCTTTTCTGACATTAAGACAATACGTGGGGCATGTCATGCACCTAATCCTCCTCACTTTCTGCTTTCTCCTGTTTCATTTTATTGCTTCTTACAAGATTTAATAATCTCTATTACATTTCAGCATGCTCGATTCAGTTAGCAGTGCAGTAACGGAACAGTATTATGCATGAGCTAGATGTTCAATTGGACTTCGTATGAACGTAATGTCCTAAATGTTTGTATTTGTTTATCAAGACTTTATTCTAAATTTATGAACATGTGATATTGATGTTTAATGCTAGTGCCACTTTTAGCCTCAATGTTTGAAGAAGTCAGGGTTGCGTTGAACTGTATACAGTGCAGTCCTTTCAGAAGGCACCTTGGTTGAGCCCCGGTTTGGTTATAGCCGGGTCTACTGTGGATCCACAGTATTGTGGCTTCAGAGCTTCCAGCGCTGGCTGCTGGCTTCCCGTGCTACAAAATAGTCACCTTCCAGATTGCTGCTTGTTGGGTCGCTGCTGACATCACTTTCTGCACATTGCATGTGTGTGCACAGCAAGTATCGCTGATGACCTGATGAGCCAGAAGTGGAATTGGCGGCCATTGCTCGATACCGCAGAGTCTAATTTTTTGGTTTCAAGACTGTGTGGTTGCCTTGTGTAAAGAAATTAGAATGGGTCAATGGATCACATGATGATCGCTGTGTAAACAGGGAGAACATGTCTCTCAATGATTTTGACTGTCGGGGAGTTGGGGGGTGTAAAGGAAAGACAGAGAATGGGAGGGAAGATAAAGCAGTCTAAAGTGGTAGTGCTGTGATGTAAACCATATTTCACGCTCCGGGACGCTACCCCGCATGAAAAGTGCTACATAAATGCAAGTTGTTGTTGTATTTTCTCCATCAAAGTCTCCAAGTCATTGCAACATACAAGGGATTCCCTGAAAAANCTTTATTAGAAGAACTTTTTATTGGAAGTGATGCCTTTTGCATGCCTTTTAAACCCTAAAGACTCTGATTCTCGCTTTCTGTGTCCTTTCTCTCTCTCCTCACTCTAATGCTCATACTTTCTCTCTTTCTCTCTCTCTCTCTTGCACACAGGCGTGCTCACCTTACTAATTAATTTACACCCATATTCTCTCTGGCTGGCTCGCTTGCTTTCTCACCCTCATTTTTTTTTCTCTTTCTCTCACACTATGGGATGCCCTTGTGGTCCCAGTCCAGTCTTTGACTCCCCCAACCATTGTTCCAAGTGTTATACGAGGGTTTCAGGGTTTCGCTGAATGAAGGGATGTCGCCTTAGGCTCCCCTTTTCACCTCCAAGCAAAATAAGTAATGTTAACAGTTCTTGGAGTCCACCATCCTCTCCACCAGGGAAACATTGCACAAGGCACCAGGGAAGCGAAGAAAGTGTAAAGGAGGAAACAAATTTTAAAAATGAAAGGAAAAGAACTAAATCAGGTTATCTTTGTGTTTGAGTCAGAAATAAAAGGTACACGACGCCTCTCACGCTTCAGGAAAGTGCTTTAGAAAAGGCATTGTCCCCGTAACTGCACTTGTGGCTGAGATCCTTTCAAAGCTGAAAGACCCCAATTAACCTAAACTCAGAAGAAAAAGAAGCTTCAGCCTTCAGTTTGCTTTAATTATGGAGAATGTAGTAATAATGGGACATTCATTTTATCTGCCTCCGTAGCTGTCAGTCAGCACAGGAGAGCTTCTGTAATGGGAGATCATCTGGGATTTAAATCGTGTCTGAAACCACACACAACAGGAAAATTATTGCCACGTATTCCATGTAGAGATGGGAAAAGTGGTGGAGCAAGGCCTGTAATGAAAAGCTATTCAACCACTTGTCGGAAGGTAGGAGCTGAAATCAATGAATCTGTTTAGTTTACTTTTAGGCAATTATAATAATATAATAATAATAATCCTTGCATTTGATACAGCGCTCTTCACGTCTTCTAGACGTCTCAAAGCGTGATCCAGCTCATGCAGGATTGTGCAGTCTGTATTTTCTCTCTTATTCGGATTCCTCATGCCTATTACGTATCCCCATCCTTGCCAGGCTCTCCTGATCCCCAATTGCCAGCTTCAGGGTCCTTTCAAAATCTAGCCGCACACTCCCTCTGCTGTCTCTCCCACCTCTTACTCTCTTTTGTCTCCAATCTCTAAAACTCTCCCCAAAACACTTCCATAAGTTCAGAACCATGTTAAGCATTTCTCTCTTTCAATGTGTCTTTGACCAACATCC